CTAGCATTACAGTTGTGAACTAGCAGGGAAATGTATGTACAGTTCAGGCTGTAAATATTTCAGTTAATAAATGCTACATCACCTCAAGTACCAAGGCAAGACTAAGAACACAAACGGCTGCTGTCAAATATGACAACAGGATGAATAATTTCAGTGTAATCCAATCATTTATTGACTACTGCTCACTTTCAAACCACAGAATGAAAGGATTGATGTTGCAACACAGTCACGTACATGGTCTCCCTCACTTCTGTAAATACCCCTGTCAGTAACACTGCTCCTTATATTTATTACATTTAGAAAAACCATGATGTAGTTAGCAGCGGAGTTACACATTGAAATGGGGCTTTGGTGGGGAAAAGGTCTATAGCTCAACCTGTATAAATGCCCCTGCACACCACTATATTAATGTTGCAGCCAAAGCAACACTTACAATGAGCATGAGAGTTCATCTTGGCTTACATAATGCTAACATTGTGCCACTGAGCCCAGTGAGTTACTCACTTTTTATTTTCACATGGTCAGAGGTGCTCAGCAGCATACTGCACTGTAACACTAAAAAAACTCAAATACCCATGAGTGCAGACCATGCCATGTTACTAAGAAGAAACATTCCTTCCACAAATAGAGAGCATCCATTCAATGGCTGAATAAGTAAAAGCCAAATTGGTCCTTGGCCATTCTGGTTTGTGTGTTTGAGTGAGTCAAGTGAATGGTGACCCTCTTGGTTTGGATATCACTGAGCCCGCAATAGCTATACGAGAACTGACATCCCCATTGTAAGCCTACTTATCTGTAAGCCCCGCTATGTAATACAGAAAGCCCCCACGGTTAAGGAGGGACAGAAGCTACCATGTAGGAAAACAGGGGGAGCCGGAGGAGGAGTTGGTCAGAAAGGTGTGAGGCAACTGATCTGGAGTCAGGCTGGTCATCCCCTGAACAAAGATGAACCTAAAACAAATGGCCAAGAAAGCTGATCATTTAGGCATTTTATTCAAAGGCAACCTTATCCATCAGTCAGTGAGAGACAAAATTTAAAAATAAAAAGTATGGAGTTATATGTGAATGAGTGATGGTTCTTTATTATGGTATGGTAAAAAGATACACAAGACTGGCAGTATTTTAGGACCAGCAGGTGTATCCAAAAATGCCAAAATACTTCACAGAAACGAAAAGTAATAGAGCTGAGAAACTGTACATTTTCTGGAATCCAGTTTTAAACATAATTAGCTCCTCTGCTTGGGTGTGGCAGCATCCTATTACACCACACCCAGGCGTTTGTGTATCTGTGGCGGATGATTTTCCAGCACCATAAGAGCACATGTTGAAAAGGAAGATGGTGGGAAAATAGAATGATGTATGGATGGATTGATGACAGATAGATAGATTAGAGGTTTGTGATGGGACACATTGTGTCAATGAATCTGTTGATGGGTGGAAAGATGAATGGTTTGAATTGATGAAACGCTGGTGGATGGTCAGATGATTGGATTGGTATATCCAGACCTGGATGGAAGACCACGGTGTTCTTCCTGCATCCCGACAGCAGCTGCAGATTTTGGAAAAGACCTTTGGCTGTCAGCTTCACATGGAAGTTGGACAGCGATAGTTTAGGAGACCATGTCATGCCTCTGTTTGTCCTCCAATAGTCTTCAAGACTCTCAGCACTTTCTTCACTTCTCTATCTCAAACAGTCCTGGGCTGAAATACTGTTTTTGTTTCTTATGATCCAACTCTCCACTGTTGCTCATCTAACCAGTTAACTGTTAAATTATCCCATGGTTGTGAGTTTCTCCCATTAGTTTCACATTAGAGTCTTCAGTCTCTCTTAAGTAAAAGGTCCCTTTTCTTTATTTCCAGAAATAAAAATAATCCCACAGACAGAGAAAATGTTTAGTAAAGATTGGTGCAGTAATCTGTGCCTTGCGTCGCCATGAAAACCATGTGGACATCAGAAAAAAGCCATAAAAACAAACAGGAGAAAAAAAGTATCTCCGTGAAGCCAATGCAGCTATGATAGAGTTGCCACCGTAACACAAAAAACAAAGGAAAACAGCTCTCTACAGCTCAGCCAATGGTCAACAAAGATATAAATAGATGATGAGGAATGAGGAGGACAACAAGAGAGATGGCGCTTGTGTGTGTGTGAGGAAGGGGGGAGAGAAAATCCTCAAGGCTAGTGATGATAAGTCCATCTCTGCTGTTGGACGCAAAACAACACCACAGCAATCTATCCCACTGATCCACCCCAGAGTGAATTGTGTGTACAGTCATATACATGTAATTCTCATTTACACATGCATACACACTGATTAGTTCAACAAAGACAGGCATCTACAAGCTCCCTCTATTTTATTGCTGTTTGTAAATGACTGTGAACAACAGGTGACACTGTGAGCCACTTTACAGGCACCAGGAAGTCAAGAACCAAGAGATTGAACATGATTGAATGCAACAGCCACTATCAGAAACGATCAGATATTATAGACGAGAGGATGACAGCGTTGTTGCTATGGAAGCTAAAAACTCTAAATAAGAGGTGTGCAGAGTCAGCACTGCGGTCAAACTAGCTGTTGTTTGTATCTCTGTAGTCAAACCAGCCACCTCTAAATTTGGAATGCGAGCTTAAACAGACATTTACGGTACATGTTGAAATGGCCCAGAGCCTTGTATGAAATGTCAAAGGCTATTTGTTTCTGAAGCATAATTTATTGGAAATGTGTAGTGTATTTATTTGCTGTGGCATTTTGTATTTGCAAAAGAAAATGCATTCATTTGTTAATGGTGTTTCGTATTTGCAAAACACTACTGTTTGCAAGTGAATCATAGGGAATTTATAAAACATGTTTGTTTGTTAAGTTTAAGCATTAATTCAGCTCATTCGAAAGAAAGCTTCAGAGGTGATTCATGCGAAGATCGGATGTGATGTATGTTTGTTTTACACAAACACACATTACTTGTGCAGCTTAGCTTACAGTAAAAGGTCAAGGAAGTGCCTGCTGCTTTTACTGTTGCCCTGAAAATCACATAGAGCTGAACCTCTGATAGTACCATCATTATTTCTATCGGTGTTAACAATGATTCTCGCTGTTAAAATGTCATTTCTATGTATCCCCTGTGCCACATTTTCAATAAAAACATTGAGAAAAAAAAGGGTAAAAGCGATATTTTAAATTTATGGCAAGATTCAAGGCAAAGTCTATGTGTTACGGCTGCCTAGGATATGTATTGCTGTGTGTTTATGGTAAATAGGCTGTGCGGTCCCCGGTGCAGGATTGACTCCCACGGGTGGAAGTGTGGCCTGCCTTCATTCAGCAGCACCGGCTGTCGTCTCTTCCCCCTCCTCCCAACTGGCAGATTCCCAGGGTGCCCTACCAATCACCAGAGAACATCTGCCCTACATAACCTCCAGTTGAATCTTCAATCTGGGCAGCATGCCTTAGATTGGACTAGTTCTGGAATTTTTTTAGTGTAGGATTTGGATGATAGAAATTGTTTGAGTACACCACTTTTGTAGTTTTGTATAGCCTCAAGTGAGTTTCAGGATGTTGGTTATATTGTGTTTTGTTAACAGATTTAAAGTTTATTTTTTTGCATCTGTTGTTTTTAAGTAACATCATTAGCTTAGAGTGAGAGTCCTCTTTATGTTACATTTAGTTGTTAGTTTGAGCAACATTCACAAGCCACTGTTTATATTGAAAATTAATCTAAGAACTGAAAATAAATTACTTTAATTTAAACTACCCATTCCAACCTGGTATATGTACTTCCCTTTCCCTCTATGAGCTAGGGACGTAACACTATGCAAAAACAATGTGCTGCAGTAGCAGCTCCTCTGCAGAACATATAGCTGAACTGAGAAGCTAAATATTGTGCATTGAACAGAAATTGCAAAATAATAAATATGACCCTCTTAAGAGGGTTTTTTTGAAGATATCAGGGTGGTTGATCACGTCTTGAGTTTGGAATTAAAAAGTTACCTTGGGCTTGAAAGGGTTGGTGATCACTGCAGTAGAAAATTGAAGTTGCTTGTCTTGTTACTGTAAAGGTCTGAATACGGGCTCACTCCAAAATTAGAGGTGACGGTGGTACCAACGATGGCTGGCTTGACCACAGTCCTGACTCCTGTTTTATCAGCACCAACTCCTACTACTTTTAAAGACCACCATCATCAATACCCTACAAGCAAAATATTTTTCATGCAAGAAAACATCCAAAATACATATTTAAACGTTCAGTGTGTAAGATTTAGGTGAAAGGGATCTATTGACAGAAATTTGATATAAAATAATTCTAGTAACGTTTTCACCAGTGGTTTTCATCTAAATTGTACCATTGAATGGGCCCTTTATATTTATATTTATCTCTACAGAGGCCGCTATGTTTTTTACAGGAGGGTGAGGGGAGGGGTATCCAGCTGCTACTTCACCACATGCTACTTCACCACTAGATTCCACTAAATTCTACACCCTGAACCTTTTAAGTGTTTATTTTACTAAACTTTGTGCAGGTAGATTTCAATCACAATCCATATCTTTATTTTTTCAAAATGAGTTATTTTCTCACCCTCTAAACCAAGAATATCCTCCTCAGCAGTACTTACATAAACCAAACTTTGCAGATTCATTCCTGTCAATATATTAAATTTAACACAAGCTTTTAAATATTTCTGAAGCTTTATCAGCAACAACCAGCTTTTAAAGAATTACATCATGTGAAGTCTTGTATAAAATAACAGAACAAAAGAGCATGCAAGAGCATCATCCTGGTTTGCCGCTGAGCAGAAAGTTGACAACGCCTTCAGTGTTATATACAGTAGAAACTGTAACAATGCAGGATGTTTGTCAGTGAGGCAAATGTGGTCTTGAGACACTGAAACACAGCCTTTAGACACTAACATCTACATTTACACACTAACATCAACACACACACACACGCGCACACACACGCACACACACACACACACACACACCCTTAAACAGCCTCTCTCACATGCTCACCTGTACTGTTGATCCGACTCAGTTTTCCTAGGCCACTTCTTTGCAAGGGATACTGGGAGTCCTGTTTTGTCAAGCCCTGATTGGCAGAGGTAGCAGCCTTTGCTGCTGTCTGACTGGCTGCTGTTGTCTTGCCTGTGTTGTGGTTGGTGGCTGCTGGCGACTTCAGACCTGCAGGGAAGATGCAGAAGAAGTCAAATCCCATTGTGAGACCAAGGTTGTGGTTTTTTTCATCTCTCCACTTGGGGGTTGACTGTTGATCCTTAGTCTATCTTGTCACAGTTTAGGTGGCCACAGTTGTGAGAGTGAGTCCACCCCAAGTTACATGTCCTATCTTATCTCAGAGCTGCAGAATCACAGAGGATTTGAAGCCAGACTGTGACGAGGACTTCCCTTCTCTTGCTATTTTATCTGCATTGTTTCACAGCCTGATTCTCAGCTGGAGTCTGTATTTTTGTATAAAAGTCTGCTCCCTCCCTCTTTCTGTTTTATCTCTGTTCCCTTTGTAATAGGATCACACGTATTAATCAGTCTGTGGCCCAGACAGACTACACAGCAGAAACAGTTACATGCCGCTTCCTCCAGCACAAATGAAACGTGACTTGCCATCTAGTCCCTGTTATAGGTGGAGGTTAAGTTACAGTCATTCACACTTTTAATATAAAGTATGACTGTCTGTCTCATAACTGCTTTAGAACATGTGGAGGATTTGTTACTGTTGTGAATGCGTCTGTGCAGAGAAACTCCCACTGGGTTGTGCACATGTAGGGGTAGGTTGTCCAAATACCTGTTGGGACGGAGAAGTAGGGCTAAGGGGTAGGGCAAGAGGAGAACCAGGAACACTTGTGCACAATCAGGTATCAGCTCTGACTAGTTAAAATAACAGTGTAAAGATATTATTTATTATTAATGTTAGCAGCAGCAATAATATAATAATTAAATACTAATAAGTATTATTGTTAATAATAATAATTAGAATCACGTATTTTCACATAATTTCATATCCCACCCCCCCTCTTTGAAGACACGATTTACTTGATTGAACCAGTGTATAGTAGCGATGTTACTGAATTAAACTGCTCCTCTAATAACAAAGCGGCCTGTCAGGGTTGCATTACAGACCACTGCTAGCAGCCTGTGTGCTTTTGATTCATATGTGAAATAACTTCTCAATTTCACATGTCATATTATAGGTTTAGTAACTGCAAACAGAAGCATTGGTTTATTCAAGATTTAAGAATGTTAATTCAATGACATCCCAGGAAAAATGTTTAGTCATGTCTGTTTACATCGATGAATACTGAAGACGTGTCAGGTTTTCGTGACGATTACTGATGATGTAACAGCTTCTTGAAGGGCTGTCCCAATTCGTAGGGGAAGATTTCAACCACCTCAAACAAGAGGTAGGGGTAGGGCCAAGGGGTGAAATGGAATTGGGCCTCTATTCATCTTACAGGTTCATGTGGAAAACTAAAGACAGCATTTAACATTAAACATAATCTGCATTAACAAACCATTAAAGAAACACAACAAACTGTCAGAGCAGCCATCTAATGGCCAATGAAGATACATAGGATGATGAACAGGCTGCTAATCAAACTGAAACTCACAAACACAATCAGCCTCTAAAATGCAGGTCATCAATTGTTGGGCGTGAAGGAATGAGAGGCATCTATTGCACTTCTGTCTGTCCTCTCTAAGGTTTCTACCTTCTTTTTCCCCTGTTAAAAATTTTGTGTGCATAGTTTTCCCTTACTCTTGTTGAGGGTAAAGGGCAGAGGATGTCACACCTTGTTAAAGCCCTATGAGACAATTGTGATTTTTGAATATGGGCTATACAATTTATATACAATATAAAAATTTATTGATTTGACTGATTGATTACACACTCACCTGTGGCCATGGTCCTGGCCTGCAGAGACAGTGTTCTGGTCCTAATGACAGGAGCCTTTGGAGCAGCAGTGTTAGCACTGATGACTGTGTCACTGGGACTACAGGTGCCTTGGGTTGCTGTTGTGCTGGAGCTGGGGGGCTTTGCCACACTCTGGCTGCCCATGGGACACATGCTTCTACTGGGCTGCTCATCTGGCCTTGTCCCTGTTGGTGCTGGAGAAGCTAGAGGAAAGAAGATACATCAGAAGAGGTTAAAATGCTTTCTGTTGTTTGAAGAACGTAACTTTATAATGTGGCCATTGAAAGAGTCAGCCTTCTCAGGTAAATGTGAATCCTTTGAAAAATAATAAATATCTAATAAAAGTGGAATGAAAGCAAAGATCAGACTGTAACTGTAGACATATCTTTACCTTGTCATCCAAACCAGATGAAAAATTTGCAAATTGTGTGGAGGTGCAATACACCGACACCGTTCTCTCTGATACATCTAAATACAGAGCCTGAATATTACTATGGGAACTAGGAATCTCAAACGTAATCAGGTCGCCATAACAAGCTTGTGATGTGTGTTATTGTATAAGTCTCCTCAACTCCCAGTTTTCACTGCATCTGACTTTAGAGCAGTGGTCCTTAAACTTATTCGGTCATGCCCCACTTTGGAGGAGGAATATTTTAAATGCCCCACCAGCACCACTGCCCCAACAATATGATGACAAAACAAGCCACGTTTAACTTGTGTATTGAAATAACATACATATGAACATTACATTCACATTTCTTTATGTAATTTCTGATGCACATAAAAAACATTTTTCAACCACTTTTTGTGTTCAGTCTGTTTGCTTTCTCAAAACTTCACTACAAAAATAACAATAAAGTTCAACTTAATTTAAAGGTCCACTGTGTAAGGTGAAAGGGAACTATTGGCAGAAATTTAATGTAGAATAATCTTCATGATGTTTTCACTAGCTCATTTCATCTAAATTGTATGAATTGTAGTTTTCTTTACTCTAGAAAAGGCCCTTTATATTTAAATACTTTATATTTATATTGAGGAGACCCTCTCTATGGAGGCCGTCATTTTTTTTACAATAGTCCAGACTGGACAAACTAAACACCTTTTGAGTTTTTATAACAACTGAAGGCTACCACAGGTAAGAGATAATATTTTTTTATGACATTTATCACTACATTCCTCCATCAATCTGTATTTTTTCAAAAATACAAGAAACAAACTTTGTAATAAAGTTAAATCTGTACTGAAAAAAACACATACATACTTGGCAAGAAAGATGGGCAAGTCCCTTTGTCAGAACTCAAGTTTTATCAATGCATTAAAGGCTGCAATGAGATTGTTTTGCACTGCACATCATTTCAAAATGGGGTTGCAGGCTTGATAATCCCCCTCTTATGTCATGTTCAATGTTGAGCCTAGATCTGTACTTTGTTTTCAGTAACAGCAGAAAAGTCCATCTCACAGAGATAGGATGTGTCAAAGGGAAGCAGAATCCCCACAGCCCTCTTCACCATAGTCAATGCTTCCTCTCCACACCAAGCCAGAATTCCCCCAGTGTATGTGTTGTAAACCTCAGCATCAGGGTGGAGTCATCTCAATGAACTGGTCCTCTTCAGTAGAACCAAAATCAGCAGGTGGTGCTGCTTTGACTGGATCTCTCACCCAGTCATACTGAACACTGTTGTTTGGGTACTTTTGACAGAATCCTCTCAGGGAAGAGATGTGCTCCTTAAGAGATGGAATCACTGTAGTGGCTCCAATATCACTGTTTTCAGCAAACTCACTCAGATTCTCAAAGGAATCAGTATTTCCTTGATCAAGTCGCCTTGCCCCTCATCTCAAGCTTTTGGCTGAATGCACTGATCTTGTTAGCCAGGTGTGGAAGGTGTTTGTCTCTGCCTTGAAGCTGAAGATTTAATTCATTCAACTTTCCATATACATTGCTGCGGTAGGCCAGTTTGATCAGAAATAGTTCATCACTAAACTTGTTTGCAAGTTCATGCATCCTCTCCTCCAACAAAAACACCCAAATTTCCTTTCTGAGCTCAAAACCTCTATACCTCACAAGAGCCACTGCCCTTTGCCGTGAAACAATACTGTTAGATTTTGAGCTACCATCACCTCACAAAGTGCAGAGAACAGCCGTGCTTTCAGGGATCTTGTTTTGATGAAATTGACCTAGTTAACAACCTTAGACAAAACCTTGCTTAGTTCAGCGCTAAGCTGCTTTGACGCTAGCGCTTCTCTGTGTATAACACAGTAAGTACATTGAGCATTTGGCGAGACCCGCTTGATCAGTTCCTGCAATTCCCTCCTTTTCCCTGCCATGATCTGTGCTCTATCTGTACAAACACCTTTACAGTTCTCCACCTTCAGTTCTGTCAGGTAACAGTCAAGAAGCTTAAAGAGCTCGCCCGGTGCGGCTCTACTGTGGACATGCAAAACAGCAAATCTTCACACAGTGACTCTGATGTGACGAAACAAACATAAGCAATAAATAAGCAGTCTCTTTTGCTATCAACAGCCTTGTCCATTTGTAGGGCGTCATTGGACAGGGGAATAATCTTCAGTTTTGAGGAGCTGGTCTCATCAAGTATCGTTTATACCATATCTAAAGCTGCGGAGAGTATAAGTTCCTCTGCTATTTTGTATGGTTTCTTGCACTGGGCAATTCTGTATGCAACTTTTAAAGTCAATGGACATTGAAAAGCTTGGATGTTTAGCATTATTTCACATATAAATCAAAAGCAGTCTGCTTCAGCCTACTAGCAGTGGTCTGCAGGCAACCCTGCCAGGATGTATTGTTATTAGAGGACCAGTTGTCTGGTCTTACTTTTTCTTGGGTGTTAACTTGTTTTCTATACCTTAGAATGGGCCTATTATATTTAAATACTTTATATTTACATCGAGGGGGGTCCACTGTATGGGGGCCGCCATGTTTTTTACAGTAGTCCAGACTGGACAAACTAAACACCTTATGAGTTTTTATGATAACTAATGGCTTCTACAGGTTCTCTGTTATGTTTGAAAGGGGAGGGTGAGGTGAGGGGTGTTCAGCTAGATGTCACTAAATTCTACACACTGTACCTTTAATGCTACTACTAGGAACAATAATATTTTAATAAATTAATGAGAAAATTGGTCTGATCACTCTTAACATCAATGACACCATTATCTGCATTAACTGCATTTCGTTGCTTAATACTTGTGACATGACCAATAACAATGAAGTTGAATCTAATCTTATCTAATCTATCTGCACAATCGTAGTAGGTATTAGTATTTTGATAAAACACCCTATCATGTTAAAGATGTAACTGACATTATTTACTTCCTATAGATAACATGATAATATTGTTTTGTGATGACAGTGTACGTGAGGTGAGAGAGGTACTGACCATATATTTTAGCTTAACAGCCTCTTAAATGTGGGCACACTCTTATCAGCTGATTGTATATAGTGTTTATGAGTCTGTGTGTGTGTGTGGGTGGGTGTATGTGTGTGTCTGTGTGTACAATGGAAACAGAATCTTCACCAGCAGTGGAAAAGAGAGGGAAGTTAAGTCAGCAGTAAAGGGAAACCACACCAAAGATCACACCTTTGCTTGTGGCTCCATTGTTTTCGTTGCTTCCCAGTGACGAAGAATTCAGGCTTGTGGGTAATCCCTTAACAGGTAGTTTAGACAATGTGGGTACAATAGGTTGTCCAGCTGACCCAAGTGCTGGCTGCTGATGGGATGTTGGTCTAAAGACGGGGCTTGTTGGACTCCCAGCAATCAATGCAGATGCTCGCTCTGTGGTGCTGCGAGGTTTGGGAATACCTGGAAAAGAGAGAAAATACAAAACAATAATTGTGTTTTTCTGTATGTAACGTGTAATTAACAAACAGGTCAGGTGGACTACATTGGAAATAGAAGCTCTACTGTATAACCTATTAATCACATTTATAAGTGAAAAAACACATGACCACTGCTAAAAACTTCAGTTACCAGAGTGTTGAATCCTTGTTCTACACTTTGTTTTGTTCAGTGTAAACAGGCACAATCAATGTAACGACAGGTGTTCATAACAGTACTATACCAGGATCTCTGTGGCTACTGGTTGATAAACTAAAATTGCACCAGCAAAAGGGGCAGACTGGCCATCTGGTCATTTCTGCAGAATTACAGAACTTCCATTGGTCCAGGTTGGCTGGTGGCCACCACACATGCATCGTGTTTTATTTTATTATTTGTTATTAGTATCATTTCAGAGAGTTGCACTGATAGGAAAAGCAAAACGCAGCGTGAGTGTCGAATGGAAGCAGTTTACTTTATTTCTGTTGGTTACAACTTAGTGGGACAGTACACGGGTGAAAAAATATGGATAAAGATCCAAGAAAATGGAAAGAAAAAGGTGGGGCTGAAAATTTAAGAGAGAAAAGGTTTAAATCCCAGGAGAGTGATGACTCAAAGTGTCAGACAGCGTTGCACTGCCAGCAGCAGCAGTACATAAAATAATTTGAGACTTTTTAAAGACTTGTTGAATCAATTTTAAAGTGACTTTTAGAATACATTTTGATAAATGTGTGAGTTACTCTAGGGTTAAATCCACGCAAGAGTATTCGTGCCACTTCACAGAGGAGAAAATGACAGAAATTCAACTTTAGCTGCTAGGATCGCATTGTTTCCTGTCAAGACAGAGATATCTATTGTGCATGCCCTCATGTAGGACAGAGGTCGGCCATCTGGTCTGCAGCCAGATCCCTCCCGCAGCAGTAGCAGCAGCAGCAGTAGTGGTGGCATACATAAAGTCCAATAGCCCCATTTGAGTGAAGAAGAATTTAATGTTGAGGGCGGGGGCCAGAGTGCAGCCTGGTATGGCCACCTTTCATGATGATGAGGGACAGAGAGCTGAGCTGCTGGAAGGGCAAGTGATAAGAACTGTGTGGCTGGTGTTACCTATAAACTTAATCGATACTGAATTACTCTCTATTACAGCTTCTCCAGTGAGACTTGGACTACAGAACATTCACAACAAACGTGATAAATCTTCTCACTGACTGATCATATCACTCCGTGTAACTAACTCATCACTCCCATCAAGTACATATAAAGTGGACCATGTTAATTAGTGCCTCATCTCACTTAAAGAACAGGATATAAGTAATTATGTAGTTATCTAAATTGTCAACAAACCAATCTGCAAAATAAATCCCCAAGAATACTAATCTCATCCTAAACTCCTCCCTTTTCTCAGATGAAATGCCCTCATTTCAAATGTAATAAAAAACAAATTTCATACTAGAACCAGAGCAAAAAAAAGAAAGTAAGTAAAGCATACTGCAATCTGAAAATGTTACATGAAAAACCTTAATAATCAGCAAACAAAGATCCAGCATTTTACTGAATGTTCATAATCAGTCCATATCTGTCCTTTCAGTGGGAAATAGGGGTCACTCAGAGCAACAGCCTCTGTGGCATGTGAATAACCTGTCCTGATCGAGTTACTGGTGGGCTACCAGAATGTGTCCCTACAGGTCCTGCATGAGCAGTGTCAGTCTGTCGGAAGCCTTTCCAGGCTCAGAAGGTCCAGTGTAAATGGGGAGTGAACAAAATAATGATGTGCACCTTGGAAAAGTGTCCATAGGCTGTGGAGGTTGTTGGTTCACTGACACTAAAAATGTATCCCAATGGACCAATAAGGCTTTGGATAATCATAGTGAATAACTATGAGTTTGAGGAACATTGTAAGGTCCAGGATCTACTGTATTTTTTTGTCTGTGTAGTGTGATCCTCCAGATCTCCACACTGATATGGTTTGAACTTCGTTGAAGAGGTACTCACGCTTTTTTGAAATCTGGCTTTGAAATACCAGGCAGTACAGGTGACAGGTAATATCATAAAGTTCTGAATGTTGAGATTACATACAGATCCTTCCATCAGAGTATAGTCGTCTTTGTTACTGCCAAACCCTAACCCTGCCCTCATTTTACACTTAAACAATAAACACTCATCACAGGCTATTAGAACCTGGACAGTACTGATGTTTACTTTGTGTTTGTTTGAATTGCTCAAGAGTTTATGAGAATCATGAGACAGAGAACCATTGGAAAGTTCTCAAATGCTTCGAACAACCAACTGTGCACAGGTGTACCAATTGAGGTGATGTAGTGCTGTTTTAAAGGCAAATAGTAGTCTCATAAAATACAAGTTGTATACCGTATACGTTTTTTTATATTCACTGCAATTTTTTATGGAATTGACTGGCAACTGAAATCTATGCATGGTATAGTTTTTTTTAACTAATTCTTACATTGGTTTCAGTGGTTGAGATACAAAAAGAAAATACTGAATTCCTTATGTTGTCCTCACAAGTGGCTCTCTTACTGGGAAATGAAGAGAGGTTTTCAGGATTCTATAGTCATGGAAATGTGAAATACAATGTCTATCATCATTTTTGTGGCCTGAATCATACATTCTTTCCTCAGACCAAAGCAGAATGAATTTTCCTGAGGCCATGACTCCCTCCATTAAATGTCTCTGTGTGTGTGTGTGTGTGTGTGTACAACTTCAGAAGGCTGTTTTAGGGGTTATGGTTACAATTTGGTTTGGGGTTAGGCATTTAGCTGTAATGGTTAAGGTTAGGGTAAGAGGCTAGAGATTGCATTATGCCAATGAATGGTTTTACTTGTCTTTACGCTGTTAGATTATGAGAACTTGTCTTCCTTATGTTGATAAAAAAACAAGGCATAATGTAAATGATTGTTTATACATGTGTTAAGGTTAATGTATGCTTACTGTTACAGCCACCCAAATCCTAACATATATCATTTCACATTGTTTGGTGTCATTTTAAAACGTCACTCATGGCATATTTAGTGTCAAAGTTGGAAGAGGATGTTTTAAATGGCAATGAGGATATGGAGCCTGATCTCCAGCTGAGCATGGAGGCCCCAGCAGCCCTGTCTGTCCCAACTACATGGGTGGACAGGTTGCTACAGTGTTAATTCTGTTGCCTTTAAGCCAGACATATTTTTTCGGGTGGACACTAAGGTTTTTGGAATGGCCTCTTCTAAGGTGACCATGCGATCATTATGGATGCAATGGGTGTCAGGCACATTCTCATATAGTTTCAAAAATAACACTGAGCCTGCTTGTAGTGGTTTTCTAGGCTGCAAGAAGTCTGACATTGGTACTGTTCAAATCCCAATGTACTATAACAATGTTACAGTCTATTATTATAGCAAGTGCTTCCCAATGTATTGTTGCCTCTGCCTCCTTCTTTCTGATCAACTAAGATGATTTATTGGTTTATCACATGCTTCCTTCCTCCTTCTCCTATTCGTAACTTAAGGTAAGGACAAGCAGGAAGTGCATTGCTTCATTTATGTGTAAAACTCAGGTCCATGGGTTGAGCCTTGGATTTTTCATGGAGCCTGTTCAAAACTCAAAAAGCAGGAACCGGTTTTAACATAAAACACGTTAGAATAGAAAACTGTAATTAGTGTCAAAATGTTCATCTCATACAACAATAGAATTACTTCTGTAAGATTCTCAGTCTAAACCAAACTCTCATCAACTTAAAGAAGTGAAAGAGAAAGGAAAACCACTGCTGAGTTCCTGGTGTCCTCAAACTTCATTCAGGGCAAAGGGTTAATCTGAATATGCCTTGACTGAAGGATAATGTGACATTACAGCTCAAGGAGAAGACTAAATATACATACAATACCATTAAATACAAATGGGACTTGAGTCTTTGGCAGTGACAGGACCCAAAATCACAGTTCCTGTCTCAGGCATTAAGACTCACTGGCATCGATTAAAACACAGAGTCCAACAAACATGTTGATAACTACACATCAAAGTTATCCTACTTCGCACTCATTTTGTCAGAATAATTCACAAATATTGTGGACATATATCCACAGAAATCAGTTAGTTAAAACTTTCTCCTACTTTGATTTACATTTCTACAAACATGAGTCCTGTCTGGCAATGAGGAGGTGGTGGGAGAGAGAGACCCTAATCAAAGACATATCCATCATATAGTCATTTAAAATTGTGGGGTCCAATATTTTGGTCCCTACAAAGCGGTTGGACTCATGGGTTGGACCCCACTTGTTTTGTGGGCAAATACAGTTAAACAAACCCGCACACACAGTGTCCCTGGTGGTGAATGTAGATCAGTAGTAAAACTTGTACTATGACTGAAGCCAACAGGAAACATCTGGCTTCATTTGGCTGTGTTTCTGATGACATGCCAGAGGACAGAGCAGCTGGATTCAGTTACAGAAGAAACTTAGGTAAGAGTTGGCTTACAGTAGATCTTCCTCATGCTTACGATTGACACAGAAAAACACACATGTAATATGTACACAATCATCTGATTACACCAATCTGAGTATTTTAGTGACTCTATGCCCTTTGTAATTGCTTAAAACTAATTCGCCTATCACATGCAATACATGAGCCCTGTGATTGCTACCATGACTGACATGACATAGTTCATGTCCCCCTCAATTCCCTGCACTGTAAAGTCAACACAGACAAATCAAAGGGATAACTAAGCTTCCAATCAGAATAAGATTTCAGTCATATCACTGATCTAGTAGCGGCTGGTGAAAAATATTCTTGGTGGGGCAGTGCCGTGCCATACTCAGTTTTAGGTAACCATCCCACTACAATTTGACACAAACTGCAGGATACCAGTTCTTTGTGAAATAGTAGGTAATTAATTAATCAATAAACTATAATAAACATTTTTACACAAAAACAGTTTACTGCATACTGCACACACAAACTTAAAAACTCAACTAAGAAAACTAAATCAAGATAATATA